CAAGAGCCCAGCATTACGGGTTTTTCTGTTGAAAAATAGTTTTTTCCCCACAGCATTAACTTTCTCTATGCTGAGCAAGTAGGCGCGAGAAAATTCCTGGAAATGTTGAAGACGAGAAAAAAAGAAAAAAAAAGAAGAAGAAAAAAAACTCAACTAAGATGCTCCCTACAGTTGTGGGCTCCTCCCGCGACCAGCGGCGCACCGAGGCGTCCCATAAATTCCGCGCTTCGGAGCGGACATATCCCGTGTGCGTCGAATAACTTCTATAGGGGATTCAAATGGAGATGAAATGTTTGTAAGAAAATGCGGGTTTCGTTTATCGATAGAAGACCATGAAAACCTCTTATTACTGGAATAGTCTTTAATCCCGCAAATTGACTTCAAGTTTAAGCGTCCTCTTCGTGTGTTACGTTCGTTGTGAAACAGAACTCAACTCCTTTAATATTGCATTTCGTCCATTCATACAGTTCGTTTGGAGTGGGTATACGAGCTCCTCGGAGTCTAGCTCACGCAGGTAGTTAATATACCGTCTTCGCAGTCAAAAGGTCCTTTGCATTTGCGAATAATAAAGAAATGCAATGCTACCAAATCGCTGAAATCTTTCCGATGATTCGCAATTTTTTAGTGTCTTTTAATGTCTGAAACATACTTGACACCTGTAAGCCATATAAGATTACTACATACACAACAAAACATCCTAGTGGAGAAGCTCACAGAGGTACTTCAATCATAATAAGAAATTCTATTAATCTCCATGAAGTAGATAAATATCGTGAAGAATACCTGCATGCAACAACAATCCAAATTAATGACTCTCACGGTTCCTTAAGCATATCTGCTATATATTGCCCACACAAAGTGAAATTTTGAAAAGGTTTTTAAATCCCTTGGAATGAGATTCTTCATTGGCAGAGATTATATTGCAAAACAACATGTCTGGGCTTCCAGGTTAAATACAACTAGAGGTGAGGAATTGAATAAAGCTATTATATCCATTAACCTATCGTACTATTCAACATGGCAACCAACTTATTGGCTATCAGATACATGCAAAATTCGTGACCTAGAACGTGGACTTCTTTATTGTGAAGGTCATTTCCTTCAACTTCATTCAAATTGAAGCCTTGTTAGATCTCAGCTCAGATCACAGTCCCATTATTATTAATATTAGTTCACATACTTTTACTACAAAAGAGCAAGTTAACTTAACAAACTCAATAACTGACTGAAAAGAATTTCAGTTGTATATAGGAGAGAATATAATGGTTCAAATTCCACTGAACACTAAAGACAAAGTAGATGACTCAGTTGAATACATAACAAGATTTATTCAAGATGCAGCATGGCATTCCACTCAAAATTTTAACACTAAAAATAATAATGTATATTATCCTAAATAAATCAAAGAAAAAGTCTCCCTTAAAGAAAATTAAAAAGAATCTATCAAGAATCAAGGCATTCACTTGACAAAATAAATCTAAAGAGAGCAACAAAGGATTTAAGATGGGCACTTCAAGAACTGAAGAATGTTGAATGCGCAACATCTTGCAAAAGTGTTCCAGCCATATCCATCCACTGACCCAGAAGCAGAACTTGAAGAGAAACATATCTTCAAATGCCCTTAGAAATGTCATTGCCTGTGACGACATTCACAACATACGAAGTAGAAAGAGTAATACAAAACTTACCATCACACATAGCCCTAAATTACGACTTAATAAATGGCAAAGTGCCGAAGAAATGACCTAAGAAGGTCAACTACTAGTAACATCAATTTTCAATGCTATTTTAAGAACTGGGCATTACCCTCCTCAATGGAAGCTAGCTCTGGTAATTCTTATACCAACCCATATACAACATCTCATCATATAGTCCTATCAATTTATTACCTACGACCTCGAAGGCTTTTGGGAAACTGTTTTTGCAACACTTAAACATACACATTATTGAAAATTATCTTATACCTACTTATCGGTGTGGATTCAAGAAATCTCACTTTACAAGCAAACAAGTACATAGAATAGTAAACAAAATAAATAAAAGCTTGGAAGAAAACAAATACTGTTCAGCTGCCTTCATTGATGTCGCCCAAGCTTTTGATAAGGTGTGGCATACTGGCCTTTACACAAATTCAAAAGCTGGTTACCATGAAAATACTTCATTTTAAAATCATTCCTCTCTGAAAGATTTTTTCAAGTGAAACGTCAAGAAGCATTCAGCACAATATTTCCAGTTATGTCTGGCGTGCTCCAAGGAAGCGTGCTGGGTCCTGTCCTGTATTTACTATATACAGCAGATCTTCGAATGTCCAAAGAAAGAATAAACTTTGGTTGAAGTTGCGACGCCATCGCTGGCTTGAGAACCACCCCAACTACCTGGCGCTCAACCTACTGGACAATAGCCAAGACAACTGGGAAGATACTCACCACTTGATTTCGCATCCAGATTCAGTTGAGTTGTCACTGGGCAACATCACTGTTGTAATTATAAATTAATTGTTTTTGTACATTATTAAAATTCACCAAAAATTTAAGTTGTAGAACTGCTTTATTCACAAGAACTAATTGTAAATGAAGTAGAATTAGGAAGGAAAAACTTTTTTTGCAAAATTCAGCATTTGAAATAAAGCTCAAAACTCCATTTTTTTACTGTTCAATAAACCCTTGCAATCACATTGAGTACTACTTACTTGCCCACTAGCTACCTGGTGTCATTGAAGCAAGCTTTTGTATCGCAACAAATTTCAAACAACCCTTAGGCAGTGGGCAAAGTGTCATCCTTTTACCGTTCTTTATCAGTCATGTAGTGACCTTCACCAACTCGGACTTACAATGTTTAATACGGCTGTGAGTACAAGCGATTGTGCTCTCTAAAGACATAATTAAATGACACTGGAATTATTATATTAATATATATAAATAATTAATAATAATAATAATAATAATATAATATAAAATATTATTTATAACAAAAAACTTGCCAGGAAATTTGAACCATGAATAACTCTTTTCAGATTTTTTGTCCAGATTTTATTTTAGACAGTCGTATATTGCACGTATTAAAAACCAAAATATTAATAAAAAAAAAAAAAAAACAATTTAGATAGAAATTTTATTGAAATGTTCTGTTATTATTTGAAACTTTTTCATTTCTCAATGTTTTTAGGAGCACTTTTCCTCTTCTTCAGGAGGCTAATTTGAATATAAACAGATATTATTATAAACTAATTTGAAACTTTTAAAACTTAAGATTGTAGTAAAACAAATTGAAATATAGTGGACATAGAATCATTTTTTATGTACGAAAAAAAAAATGAAACAAAACATTGCATTTTTGAGCCAAACTCGACAAGTTAAGAGTCTTAAATTTTGATTTGACATCTATTATTATGTTAATCATACAATGAAATATGAAAAACATTAAAGAACCCCCCTACATTTGTGTGGAATCACCCAAACATATTTACACTTAGTGCCAAGAATGGCACGTACATAATGATCAGTACTACAGTATGTCAAATAGGGTTTGATCTGCTGAAGCACCTCATAATAGCAGGCATTATGGCTAAGTGGACAATTATGGCATTATGGCTAAGTGGGCTTATGGACAATTCCTTTTATATTCCAATATATTGATGACTTGCACTTAGCATTACCTAGAGCTAAAAAAGAAACAGATTTTTCAATTCACACCATTTCAAATTCAAATTAGTAAATGAAGTCTGTAATAAAATATCCTGCTAATTAGGAATCCAAATAGCACAAACAAATTGGATTGGTATAGGAAACCAACAATATCAAATGCATATGTCCATTACAAATCCCAACACCCAGTTACCTACGATTTGGTGTTGAAATACAGAGCTCTCAAATTAAACAACAATTAATAACAGGAGTGGTCTGTAAATAAATATTAGTACATTAGTGTGTATAAGGATGTGATCAATTTGTAAATAATGTTTTTGTGTGTTTGAAATTTTGTGTCAATTATCTGACTTTGCCAACTAGTTAATGGCACCATGCTTGGGCCTAATTGAGTTCTCACACTTGGGAGGTAAGAGAGACATGTGGCAGACGTGATGTATTCCCATCTAAGTAATTAGCAAACTCTGCCTGCTTGAACTTTTCTTCATCACTCGGCTACAGAAACTGAGATGATGATTAAGGAAAGTGAGCAGAACCAATATGTTATGTTCACGTTGGTCAGATTGCTGCCTTGAGCAAGTTTTATTGTGTTTGCCAATAGGTCGTTAGCAGGGCTCAGATTCTGATGACATGACACCTTTCCATTTGTGCATTCTAGACGAAGATAACATGTAAATGAATGTTTATCACAATATATAGATAATAGAAACTTATAGTTATTCGGTCATTTTTTGCCATTTTTTAACTTTGAAGTCATTTTTCTGGACCTTTGCATCATTATGCATTTTCTTTCATTTTTGTGTTTTTTTATTTGTAAATGTTTCATGAATTTACTATGACGCTCTAAAACAAAGTTTTTATTGTATCATCAATTCATGATGAAATTCACTACTACAGTAGACTCTGCTTTTTGAACTCCCAAAATTAAACGAATCTTTTGTAACTTCCACGACCATTTGAAACTGACCATAGGAGATAGGAGCTAAGGTATTCATTTTCTCCTAAAATTAAGTTTTATATGAAATTTGTTTTTATGTAAATAAATTTTATTTAAAATTGTAAAATTCATTGAATAAGTAAACATATTCACAAATATGTTTTAGTTTTTTAATTTTATGTAAAGGTCTTTTTCCCCTTGTTTTTAAGTAATCAGAATCCGAGCCTTGGTCATTAGCCCAAGGAGGGGGAGTCCTACTAGTGACCCCCCTCCCCCTCTTGGATATGCTCAGCTTACAGACAAATTTGATCACTATTTTAATGGTATATATGAAGTTATATAAAAAAAAAATGGTTCACGAGTTCATTAAAATATTTGAATTACCTTACGTTTTGCTATTGCTTCTTTTTGATTTGCAGTTGACTGTGCACATACCAAGAGGGTCTTTGCCCTCCCACTTGGGTGGCACACTGGATGTGGACCATGCAGCTTGGCTCCTCCATTGTATCAAGTCCATGACAAACCGTCATGGTGATCTGTACGACGTGTCCTCTCCGGGCAACGCAGACGGCAACATTATGGCAGCTCTTCCAAATGGATCTGGTAACAGCCACCAAGGGTATTCCCAGGTACTTGTGGCAAAATATTTAAAACTTCATAAAATTATGTATTTAAATTTATCATTTCATATTTCTGTGTAAAAATATCAATTTAGAAAAAATAATTTTGGCTAATAAGTCTACTTTAACAAACTCCATACATACTAATTTGTTTCGCTGTGAAAGCTTCAAGTAACTGATCATAAGACTATCTGAAAAGGAAAATATCAATTGGTGAAAGTGAATTCTCTCTCTTCTTTTGTAGAAGTGTTCTGCCACCAGGTTCTATACCTACTTGCAGAAATAATAAATCTATCTATCTATCTATATTATTTTATTTTTAGTCCATTGTATTTTTCATGATTCTAATGCATTCTGCTTGGAAGTTGGTTGTATGTACAGATTTGAGCCTTATTAATAATTTGAAGGGGTTATTGGCATCATAGCATTAACCATTTTTGTAAGCCAGAGGTCAAATAAAGTTTTTATAATTCCATACATTTCTCAGTTTGTGTGTATATTTATGCTTTACAAACTATATGTATAAAGCAGAAATATATGCACAGACTGAGAAATGTATATATATACAATGTACATATACTGTTGTTCTAGGAAATAGCAATGTGTTTGGAGTATAATGTTAGTTTTCTGTGGAATTCCAAGATCATTTTGGATATTTGGAATCGGAATTGTCATTACATTGCTCCCAACACTTTCATTCCATAGAATTTTGTTTGAAAAGAAGGCTTTGATCTGTGCAGGAGGAGTTGACCTGCGGCCTTCAAGCCTCCAGAGACCCAGATGGGCCGGAGGGCAGAAAGAAGGCCCGGAGCTCCTCTCCAGTTTCCGGCCCTGAGGAGGAAGAGGAGGAAGATATTGTGATTACTGCCAGGGACTTAGATAATGGGGAGACTTGGCAGCATAACTCAGGCAGTGGGGGTAAGTGTGAAACAGTGTTGCTTCTTACTTGGGCAAATTTTCTCTTAAGTGTGACTTTGATCAGTTATGTAAAGAATTAAAACTGATTCATTATTTTATTTCCTTGAGTTTAGTAATTGTTTTATTTATCCTGTGGCAAATTGTATCTAATACTTTGAAATGGGTGGCATAATTCTATTGCATTTCGTGAACACTAAATTGTGCAGCTTTTCTAGTATCAGTTACCCAGCAAAGCACTTTCTCAGTCCATCGTGTGTAATTTACTTCCTTACACATATAACTTATATAGTCACATCCATGTAAAATATGGCTGCCAGTTTGCCCAGACTCTGGCAAGCATGGACTTGCGTTGCCAAAGTGATTGCTTTATTTTCTCTTAAAGAGGCGTTGTTCTCTCTGTATTATCTCTTTTAACCACTTAGCAATGGACTAGGGCTTCTTAAACATGTTTCAAGAGAGATCTCTTTGGTGCTGATCTTGTATTTTCCTTGTGTGACCTCCATGCAGCTACGATGACAGCTTTGTAAATAAAAAAGCAGTTAACAATACTGATACTTGTACATGCTTTTTAAATTGATTAAATCCATCTCATAAAGTTTATTTTGAGGGCCTTTGTTTTTGTGGATATGACAGGACAAACAGTGTACTAATTTAGTTGGTATTTCATGAATTAGTAAATTTCTTGACAAATACTTGAAGAAAAAAAGCATAACGGATGCAATAGGTTTCTTGGAAATGTAAACAATACTACTGCCAGTTTCTTGTTTTAAAAATTGAAAGTGCAATGCATTCAAGATTTAAAGGTGTGAAGGTTATTAAAAAAATACATGGTATGTAGATTAATAATAAGTGTTGTTTCTTTTGTTTTGTTGTTTGTTTGTTTTTTTCCCTGAATATCTAAGAATACAATCTAATGAAAATATTATGTAAGTGTTGTTGGAAGAAAGTTTAGTGCTTTTCAATTAAGTGTTTCGGTGAAATATGAACTAAACCAGGCTTCAAACTGGAGCAACATATAAATTATCCTTAATCCTGGTGTTTTTATGAGTCACTAACTGTCAATGTTATAAAGATGATGTAGCAAGTTTGAACCAGAAAAAGGCAATTCAGATCAAATGACACGAATTTGTCTTTGCATAATAACTTGAAAGTTGTAACAAAAAAGGTTTGCAGTATAATTTGGTTATTACATAGCTGCATTGCAAGAAGATTTTTCCATTGACTTATTTGTTTTTTATGTCTGCTTGTTTTAAAGAAGAATGCCTTTTGTTAATGTGGATCTCGTATACTTTAAGTACTCATATATGCTTCAGATTAACTCTGCGGTTGATCCAGAGTTTAGGGTGGAGCATGTCAACATATCAACACTGAAATATGACGTTGTTGTGATGTTTTACAGGCTCTTACAGACTATCAAAATTAGAGATTTTATTGTTTTTGTGTCATGTGTCATAAACAATATTGTTTGCTACTAAATTATTTTTCTGTAACTCTATTTAGTACTTTATTAAAACTGTTTTGAATTCTGGTCATAAAAGTTTTTGAACAATCATACTAGAAATATTTTTTTATTGTAAATGACTTTAATAACTCGTTCTTGCGATCCTAACTTTTTGTGAGTACTGAAAAAATGTAACGATATATTAACAAGTAATATTTTTCTTAAGCATTTAATTAACATTCTTAGTAGAATCAAATTTTCGTCCCTGAATATAGTTTCAAACATTTGTGGGAAATACCTTTTTTACCAAATATTTGTTATTACTTCATGAAGATGAACCTACACAAGGGAGTGACAAATACATGTAGACTATCATAATGTGTCAATATTGCAGAATATCTGGCGTATTGACTGTTTTGTTGTTTGGCAAATTCTTTGTTAATCCACTTTTTTAATACATTCACTCATTGTTTACTTTCACTTTCTGACCCCATTTTTTTTCTTTACTCTACCTTATCATGTTTTTCCTTTTCTCTTGAAATTTATAAAGTTCACTTTCAACAAAATATGTATGCTCCAGATTTAAAATTGATTTATGATTTAACCTAAGGTTGTTTGATTTGAAAATGAAGATCTGGGTTGAATTTTCACCTGAAGTGCTCGAGTATTTGCCTCTAAATCTTCTGTTCATTTCCAGGTGCTTCTTCTCCTGCCCCCCCTCCATCATCTGCCAGCAGTGGCTTTTCAGATGACGACAGTCTGCACTGTGATGTTGGGCATGGTCTTACCCTTGAACAATTTGTGGAAAGTGTTAAAAGTAGAGGCCGTGCTGGACTTGTTCAAGACTACGCTGAAATTAGAGCTCGTCCTCCAGATGGCTCTTTCAATTATGCTCGGTAAGTTAACTTGGAACATTTTTATGTTAAAAATATTTTTAAAATACCCTAATGTAGCAAGTATTCTAAGTATTCATATTTTCTATGAGTGGTATAAATTAGTTTCATATGAAACATACTTGAGAGACTGAAGATGGAAAATAAAAATAAAAAGATTATAAAGAGAAAATTAAGGCATACAACAAATAAAGAGATATGTTCTATTTATTTTAATATATCCTGAATTCTCAAAATAACAAAATATTTCATAAGGGAGACTCCTTATGATCCTCCTTTCCTTGCTGCATTGAGTTTTTTTTTTAATGTTTTTTGAAATGGACATATCCTTTGTAACTGAATGTAATGATAAAAATACTACACAGAGTTATTTTTAATTTATTTTGAATACTAATCACAACATTCATAATTACTTTCAATGTATGTTTCCAGATTGCGTGCACACAACCTGAAGAATCGATACACTGATGTACTTTGCTATGATCACAGCCGTGTACTATTGTCGCAGATTGATGGAGATAGCTGTAGTGATTACATAAATGCAAACTTTGTTGATGGTTATAAACAAAAAAATGCTTTTATTTCAACTCAAGGTAAAATAAGAGATGAAACAATTGTTTGAGACATGTGTAATACTTCAAAAATTTAAAGACTTTTTGCTATCTACTTTTTTGATGTGTTTGATTTAAAGCCTAAATTTATTTTTTAGATATAGGATTCTAACACATTAGTGAGAATTCATATTTTAAACATGAAAATTGCAAAGTTTTATGATTTTACGAATTTTTGTCATAACATACAACTTAGTTATATTTGTGTGTATAAAAGACAGAAAATGATTGGTTAAAGTGATTGTCAAATGTTGCAGGTCCTTTACCAAATACTTGTGGAGATTTCTGGCGCATGGTTTGGGAACAGCAAGCACTTGTTGTAGTCATGACAACTCGAGTAATAGAGCGGGGCCGAACCAAATGTGCTCAATACTGGGCAAAGGATGAAGGGGGAGTTGCTACTCATGGGTTCTTCCAAATCACTACTACATCAGTTACACAACATGCTGATTTCACTGTTTCCAATCTGCAACTTGTTAATATTATGGTAAGGAAATTTCATGAGTTTGTTTTGCTAAACACATGTAGAATTTTATTAATTTAGCTTTTAGCTTAATTGACCCCAAAAATGAATCATGGTTTTACCACATTTACCTAATAAAGTAACTTACTTAATAAAGTAAACAATTAAAAGTTTCTTAAAATATGCCTTGTTTATGTTAAAAGCTGTATCCCAAATAAATTGATATACATTATATGAACGCACATATGAATACATTTGACAATTCTGGTCTTAAGCCACACTGTGACTCTTCAAGAAGTAATCAAAATACAGTATAATACTGTGAAGTATTGTGTCAATCTTAAGAGATGTTAAAGATTGGCAAAGGACACTTTTCTTTTCCTTGCATTTAATTTAATTTAATTTGTGAATTCTTACCTAAAGTGATGTGACAAATTATACTATAATCAACTTATACTTCTGGAATATATTTCTATTTTTTGCAGCACAATTTATACAACAAAATTTTCTCCAGTTACTTGCAAACTTAAATCCAAATCGAGAGTTAATTTTCGAAAAATTATTGAACTTAAGTTTATTGTTAAAGTTCTGTGTTAAGTATTGTGTTATCTTTCATTTGTTTCTTTTTAATCTAAACCATATCCAAATGATATTTGCATGTGCATTAAGGTCTTTAATTGCTCTGAGGTTATTGAATGATCAATGCATTTTGATGGAAAATTTTGTTGCCAATTGAAATTTATTTTGCATTCCAAAGAACAAAAAATGATCCCAGTTTCAAAGAATTATATGAAAAACAAGGTATTCACAGGAGTTCACAGCATTTGGAAATGTACTGAAATATGCTTAAAGATTAAAGCAAATACATATTTTGACAAAACTATGGAAAACACTGTACCAAGCTTCATTTCACAGATTCTTCATTGAATTACACACAAAAAAAAATTGTGGATTAAATATACAACTGCATGTACGAGTCTTTAATCTTCACAATAAGCAATTCTTGGGATAACAATTCCTGGAGTTATTTTAGCATCTGACCCTTATTAGTTTTCCTCCTGAAGTGAAGGTTAGGCAGAAAAAGTATTGGAATAACCTGAAAAATACGATCTAGAATTTTTGGATATAAAATCCGTGTTTAATGTTCCTTTAAGCTGTAATACACATAATGATTAAGGCCATTCCAAAGAAGAATTAAAATTGGTGCTGAGGAGAAGCATTTAATTTTGTACCCAAATATCGGGATGGAGGGACAGGTAAACGAACAGACGGGAGGGTGGGTAGGTGAGCCGGCCACGCATACCTCTGTAAACTTACCTCGCTACCTCTGGAAGTTTTTGTGCTGGAACTTGGTTAATACATCAGGAGTAAGATCTAGTTCTTCCTTTCGTGAAATAATGTACTTATTGTAATTTTGGGGAGTACTTTACATGAAGCCACTATGACATTTTCAAAATTTACTGGAAAATGGCTGAAATTTTTTGTAAATAACGCATTATAGTTGGCAGCGAGTTTTACAAGTGATGGCAGAAAAGTGTTAACATGAACAGAGAACAAAACTTATTTTTGTCACAAGCACAATAAGCATGATTCCAGCTTCCTATTATTCAAGAAAATATTCCTAAAAATATTTTGAGGAAATGGCAATTTTGCAAATTGCAAAAATTGCAATCTTTCTCTACAGTGTTTTTCACCTCTCAGCCTTTTTTCCACAGATTATCTCAGTTCAAAATAGATTTCTAAGTTGTTATTCCAAACAATTCTTTTATTTTTGAATGAAATTACAAAATGTTTGAAATCATTTTTTTCAACAGACTGAAGAAAGTCGAGAAGTTAGTCATTACCAGTTTACTTCTTGGCCAGACTACGGTGTCCCCCACAGTGCAATGGCCATGCTGGACTTTCTGGAGCGTGTGCGTCAACAGCAAGCCAAAATGGTTGCAACTTTAGGTGACACCTGGGCTGGTCACCCTCGAGGCCCACCCATTATTGTGCACTGCAGTGCTGGAATTGGCCGGACAGGTTGGTCACCATCAATTATTAAGTTTGTTTTTATTATTGTTGAAATCTTGTTGTGGGTCTAATAGAGAAAGGATCTTTTATAAAGGACCGAGTTCGTTGTAGCCAATGCCGATCTGCAAACTCAAGCTTAGAACATGTAGCCTCTGAGTGACTCCAGTACATATTTTAATCTGCTCTACTATGCTCTACTTCTAGAAAACAAGCATTATTTTCACTTACATTATATCTTAAGCATCTTGCTTTAAATGACTTGTGTGCACAGGGATCGGCATGTGTCAACGCAGCTTACATCATCAGCGTTAGGCGACTCTTCTCGGCGCAAGCTAGTGTGAGACAGTCTTAAATGTCATTATTAATCTTCAATTCCCTTGAGTTTCAATATTTCCTTTAAATGCCTAGAATCTTTTCGTTCAATGCTGGTGAACATTATGCAAAGCCACACCAGACTTCATTAGCAGCTCTATTTCTCCATCCTCCAGTTTTGTCCAAAATTCTAAATCTGAAACTTCAAACCAGTTGAAACACCCTGCATAGCAATGAAACAATCTGAACATTGAATTGAACACAAAAATTCCTTGGGCTCCTCTACAATACCATAAATGTTCTCACTTATTAGTCACTTGTGTTGTTATCATTTGGGCAGTGTAAATTCTTGATGGAACTTACATTATGAACATACACATATCTTAAATATTTTAGCTTGAGAAGTATAGGAATTTATCCTGGACAAAAAAAGTATAAACATGAAAAAGTGTAAGTGCAAAATGTATAAACAGCTTATCTGTATTTCTTTTGATGCTTTACTCATTTGGTCATGGAGTGTGGTGTCTATCAATTTTTTTTTTTCTTCAGGAGATTAATAATTCCTTTACTGATTGTAGTCTCATATATATGTTTTATTGAAAACAGGTACATTCTGCACGTTGGACATCTGCATTAGTCGTCTGGAAGATGTGAGAACAGTGGATGTTCGTGGCACTGTGGAACGCATTCGCTCCCAGAGAGCGTATTCTATTCAGATGCCTGACCAGTATGTCTTCTGTCATCTAGCATTAATAGAGTATGCTGTAGCCAAGGAACTGATCTCTGCAGTTGATCTATCTGGATTTGAGGACACTGTAGACAATGAATCTGACTAATTACTTTTAAGTATTCAAATTGTATCTTCAGTGTAACATGATTATGTGGTAAAGACAGTTCAAGTGGACCAATGCCAGACTTCTCTGCAAACTCAATGGAATTGGTGATTCTATTTATACAACTTGAAAAAGTTATTCGTACTGTATTAGATGTTTTCACTGTGTGATAAGTTAATTTTCCGGAAAATAAATTTAAAAAAACATTGCTGGAAATGTTGGAAATATATTTCCAAAGAAGAATTGAAATGCACAAATTTTAAGTAGTGATTGAAAACCAAGGGTCTCGTGCTTAGGTTTGACTCTCTCCCTTTGCGTGTGTGTGTGTGTACGTTCATCCGTGATGGTGCCGGTTATCTTTATATGTGAATATCCAGAAAATGAGTGTGCTAAACAGAACTGCCAGAACTGCCAAGAAAATTAATTTTTTCAAAGAACTGTTGTAGCTCAGTGTTTTTAATCATGAAATATATATTGTACATTATTTCTGTACATAAGTAATATATAATATATATCCAACAATTACATATGTGATAATAAGTATATTATATACTTGTGTATTTGTTTGAATGTCTTTGCCCTTTACACTTCCAGTGAATATAAATTTTCTGTACTCTCCATACTCTGCATAAAAATTGTTTTTGTGTAAAAAGACTTATCACAATTTAAATATTCTTTAATTTATTTGTTCATGATGTGATTTACAAATATTTTTTTGAATAAGTTGTCAACCAAAGTTTAACATTAATTTCTAGTCACATTTTTTATGTGGCTAATACAGAGTCAATAAATTTGTAGAGACTCATTCAAATATTTTGTTTATATTTTAATGTAGTATTACATCAAATTTTAAATAGCTTCATTTTTATTTTCTTTCATTCCAAGAAGTGAAGTATAATTTCAAGAAGTATATATGTAATTTTTTTGTTTATTAATAAGATATGGCTATAAAGGTATTCATAATTTATTTGGTTTAAAGTTTTTAAAAAAATTCAGATTTTAATTCTGGGTATTTGTTCTTGCAAGTTATTTCAAGAGTATGGATGTCATCATATATTAATGTATATCATATCAAGATCTTGTCATGATACTTTGGGTACATTTTGATTGTATTCCTTGAATTTTTGTTTTTAGAAATATATAGACAATAAATAAAATGTTACAATTCGATGATTTCAGTTCAGTCTAACACGTTCACTGTTACATATCATTAAAACAATAATTTCTATTAAAAACAAACTGTTTACAAACTCATTTCCATTACATGTCCTTCTTGCTGCCCATCTTTTATGTGAAATACAGTAAAACCCCTATTTTACATTTTTCAGGGTACCGATGAAAACAAGAGTAAAATACGGGAAGTTGAAAAACGTTAGGCTAGGTGAGTTCATTCATTATTTACTACAATGGTAGCTGTTTTTACTTTCTTGCCCTTCGTAAAAAGAGAAAGTAAAATTGTGCACTGGAAATGGTGAAATTGATTGATACCTAACTTCTGGTTCTACGGCTGTGGTCAATGCTAATGTGTAAACCATCAGCTGATTTTCTCCAAAATTTATATTCCCTGATTGATCTGAATGAACTGGAGGCTTTTGCAAGTTCATTACATACATATGTAGTAATTTACTACATATTGGAACAATATTTATGCACTTTTGCTGTATTTACACGTTTTTCTGTGTCAAAATTGCTGTTTTTTGTCGAAGCGTTACATGACTTTCTCTGTCATGTCAGGTATAATACGTACGTATACGAGAAAGTAAAAAAGAAGTAAAAAAGGATGCAAAAGACAGGAAGCACTCTTCGTATAGAGTTGTAAGAGAATGCATTGTAAATTGGGCTTTACGACAGGACCAACGAAAAAGTACGTAAAAGGCAAGAAAACAAAATGCGGGAACGTAAAAACGGGGTTTTACTGTACTCCTTTTTACGCTCATAATGTTTACTGTTCCTCCACTCTTGTATTGTTCTGCATTTAAATAATACTGAATACTCTTGAGAGATGAAGGCTGCCTAAGATTTTGCTAACTTCCACTAGATGGCACTTGATATACGACATTACTATTGTAAAATTTATTGCATGGAGAATCTGTATGATCATAAATTATGTAATAGAAGGAGCTGATTGACGGAGTGTGGTTAATGGAATATAGTTCTAATTAATTGTTTACCGACGTTTAAGAAAATGTATTTCTATCCTCGGGGCTGTTCATAAAAAAAATAAAATAGACTGTTGATTATAAAAGTAAGCTTTTACATGTATTATGGAACTACACAATAGGGTTCATGTAAATCTCATAAAATATGGGATCGTTTTTTTTTTTTTATTATTATTATTATTATTTATCTCTGCCCCGTTGTCCCAAAAAAACTTTTTAGGACACTGAAAGGTTCTGATTTTCCTTCGGCCTGTTTTATGCCGTGGAGCAAGGCAATTAAAAATACTAAATATCATTATCTCCTTAAGGTGTCTTAAAAAATAAAAATATCTATGAACAATGTTCCTCTGCACATATCATTGGTCCAGGAACTTTTGGAAACTTGCATTCTAACCACTTCAAATTCAGCTCTGAAAAAAAAAGTATTTCTCTCTTACATGTACTGCAAAAGCTCTGTAATATAGCCAAATGGTACTGGATTCAAAATGAAAATTATGGTAATTGGCTCTGAGGATTGGTTTAGGTCTTTTCTTTCCTTTTTTTTTCATTTTACTTTTTAGCATTCTATTCACATATTATAGAGAAGTATTGTACTGCTGCAGTAAAATGTTGATTTTTTGGGGTGTCTTCCTTCATTCACAATATTGAAGGTAGAGACTTTTTCATTAATGTAATCTATTCTTTACAGACAAATCTTTAATAAGCTCGTAAAATTTAATGCAAGGAGTCCTCTTAAAATATTGGCAAATTTTTTTATCGATTATTTTTTCAAAATGAATCTAATAATTTTTCTAACAGTGCAAAATACACTTATAAAAGCGACACAAGTCCCATTTTCAGTGAATTTTCTGTATTTTCAAAAATTGCAAAACTACAATATTGATGAAGGAGATTTTTTCCTTCATAGAACATTTTCTTTAAAATTAGATATTTTAATAAAGTCATTTACAATTTTTTGAAAATAAAGGTAGTTTATTTCTCTCAAAAAGGCTCCAAGTTCTGTCTTCAACTTTTTTCCTCAAAGAGAGCAATGGATTCATCGAAAATAGTGCAGGTCTAATTTTCATTGTACTTTCTGATTTTTCAACAATTTAAAATGTTAAAGATAATGCAAGAAAGAGTGTGCTTTGGTAGCTTGACTAGTTTCTGTTCTGAGTTTCACAGAAATATCTTCATAATAGAAATTACAGATATATATTTACTTTCAAACTATTTTTTATTTGCTTTTCTATCTTCAAATGAACTAGTTATAGAATTTGAAATGTTTGGTCAGTTTGAATTTTTTTTTTTTTTTCATGTGCCCTGACCACAAAACCAAAATTTTGGGATGATGACAGCGCTTTTCCTTTATCTTGTTTCCCAAAAGAAAAATACCAGTAATATCCCAGTGTCAAGATACCTGATGACCAGAGTTATAGTAAATATTCTATTAAAGAAAACAGAATATCCCATTTCTTGATGTGTGCATTTGTGATTTTTCAATACCTTAAAGGAGAACAATTTACGTGTCCAGTATTTTTGTTAAAAATTTCCATGAATCCTACTAAGACCTAAGCTGTAATTTGAAAAAGTCAAATTCAAATCAAGAGATTTGGTGCATCTTTGCATTTATTTCGATATTTATTTATTTACGTCAAAAACAGTTAAAAATTGTGTGTGGTGAGCTATGGGAAGCAGTTAATGTGAAATTACATTTATGTCCTGAGCAAAACAAGGGGCCATCTCAGCATTTGCTCAACGGTCAGGAAAACGACGAAAACCTGTTGGAGATGGGGGGGGGTCATTGACTCACGAAGTTGAAGTACACTACTTGTTACAGGTTCTCTAGAATTATACACTCCAAATGGTAAATAATACATTTAATGTCTGTTAAAATTAATATTACTTTCCTTTTCAATGTTCAGTATAGTGTTTAATTGTATAGAAACAGTTTTGTAGCAGAAAAGATTTTACTTGGGACTTGTGTATCAAATTTAATCGTTAGATCTGGAAAGGTGTAAAATAATGTAGATGAATTATATGTGAATTTTTTGGTAGTGAGCTGTTGATAGTCACCTAATGAATATGATTACTACGTTGAGTGTTGTAGTTACAGACATCGGCTGAAAATATATTCCAACCCAATAAGTCACTTTTGACCTCTGCTTCATATATCAAGAGACAAGGTAATGGCAAAATACCTAGATTAATAAAGAAAGGCTTACAAAAATCTCGTGGTGAGATTATCCTATTATTCGTAATCAAATTTACAAATCTTACTAATTACAAATCTAGAAATCTTTACAATTATAAATTACAAATTAAAAATCTTTTGTGTAATCTAAAAGTCTGGAGGCTACAAGAAGTATTTCTCCCGAATATTATGCCATATTTCAGGCGGGAATTATAATTCTCGAAATATACACAAGCAGTATGCAGGCTGACTTAATTTAAAAGAATTCTGAAAGCGTAGAACAAAAAACTTAGTTTAGTGTGCAATTCATTGAAATGGGCGTTCCATTTAAGATTTGACTGAATTGAAAGACCTAAAAATTTTGTTACCTTAACATCAGTCAATGGCACACCGTTCATATTCAATGGAGTTCAGAGCTGTTGTTTGAATTGGAAAAGTGCATTGAAACAGTTTTCTTTTTATCTACTATTAGTTTGTTATTAAGGAACCAATTTGAAATATTTGATATTGTACTATTTATGGTATCTTTATTGCAAGGAATATCGTATCATCCGCAAAGAGAAATGTTATTTCGTTTCTAATCGTGGAGAGCATATCATTTACGTATAATAGGGAAGAGAATTAGGAACAATACGCACCGATCCGAGTAGCCGGGCTCGCTAAGGCAGGAGTGCCTTGGCGGAACGAAGGATCGTGGGTTCGAATTCCCTGGATGTGTGTTTTATATGTGCAATGTTTTTGTATGAGTCCCTTGTGGTTGACGTCGGGAAGGGCATCCGACAGTAAAATTATTGCCATCATGATTAAAATTGAGTGTGCGGAAAATCAAATCCCGCCCCTATTAGCACTGACCCCGTAGAAACAGGAAGAGGGGATAAGGTGGGAAAAGAAAGAAATAGAAACAGTATGCCAGGTTGTGAATGTAATGGAAATCCTCCTTGGGCTGCAACACGGAAGCAGCGCCTCCGACAGCCTGCTCCGTCCGCCTTCTGCTCACGTAACCCTCGAACGAGGAAGAGATGCTCTGCCAAGGTTAATGTCACGTTGCCTACGCCCTCTGTCTCCCCTCTCTTTGGTTCTTTCTCCGTTGAATCCAGAGGAATGAGGGCAGGGCCATTTTCTCTAGGGTTTGTCTCACATTTTCAGAATATGAAACTTTTTTCTGGAAAACTGACGCTGTTATTGTCATTGTGTTTGGCTCGTAACGATGTAGGTAGAGCCGGGGAAGGCGCAGTGAATGCATAGTACCCTTTCTGTACCGCACGCGGCAGTTGCTCTAGAGCCACTGTCCGTAAACTCTAGTGAGCTAGATGCCTTGCCAACGATCTTGGCGTGGTCAGCTGGATTGGGAATAGTTGCTAATGGCCTGAAACGGCAGAAAAGCTGGTGAACAAAAACAAAATTCAAGAAATAGCACGCTAAAAACAACAAATAAAATATGCTCATACAACTCTACAATAAATTAATCATTTTAACAAACGATTTCACGAATTCTGCAATAATGAAGCATCATATACGATATCTTACATATTGGTAATGGGGTAGCTCGCGTCTATCCGTTGCTTACTGTTAGAACTCTTACGATCCACCTATCGGGACAAACGAGATGTCGTTTGACGCATCTGTCTGTCCCTCTCTCTTTTCTTTTCCTCTCTCTCACACCCGGAGATGTAGCTCAGAGCATTAACTGATATTAGTGCAGTGCCTCCGACCAGCATGTCCTAAATTGGAGTCCTGTCGATGGCAGGATTGTCGACACTAGCTTGTCGGCTAGGTCGAATTCAGTCTGTGTCTGAAGGATAATTTTAGAGGCCAACTGCTTAGATCGGTAGTTTTCCGATCAACACCAGGCGAATGTCGGAGTAGTACCCTAACAAACGGACCGCGCGATCTTTCCTTCCTCTTCCTTGTCCTATCCTCACCCTTTACTTACCCAGTAACGTGCAATACACTATCATACATGCCGAGAGACTGGTCAGGAGCTTGCAGCTTGCACCGGCCGGGGCTGTGCCCTAACCAATGTATGTGCCGACAAAGCCTTGGCCTGGAAGTTAGCATGGCAGGTGATGAGGAGCAATGACGGGTGAGGCAGCACCCGCCGCCGGGCCGAGTCGTCCACTGTTCGGTGTTCGCTGAGATCCCCCTAGA